GAATCAATAAACCACACGCTCTTATTGCACAATGCACATGCCTTACGCTGTCAAGCCGCGTCAATTTTTGGAGCCTAGTAAATGCAGCGTTCTTGGAAAAGCAGTAGTTCTTGTGTCTTGCCCATTTACCGTTGAAGGATCCTGCCACGAGGTGCGAACGCGCCGGTAGCGAGATACCCTAAGTCTTACTAAAACACGCGTTCCCTTCCTCAATCGGCCGTGCCGTCCGATGTGCGCGAGTGGAGGAGTATGTATCCGGATCCATTTCTCCGTACCATAGTTACAGATGTTCTGCACGCAGGCGTATGCCACCTGACGTAATGATGCTGCTCGGCATGCAGGCGTGCGAGTGGGTTGCCTACCCGCAGTGCCCGTAAGGCGCCACGGTTCCCTGGGGTAGGCAAACCCCGCCGGTCGTCGTGGTGATGCTGTACCGCACGCAGGCGTGCGCGCGGGTTGCCTACCTGCACCGCACGTAGGGCGCTACGGCCCCTAGGGGTAGGCAAACCAAACGTTCGGTAATGTATGACTGCAAGAGCCACCTCTGGTACATTGTCGTATGCTCTGTTTGCGCTTTTCCGCTTTGCTCGGTGTCCTGACACAATAAATACAATTTTAGAGGTAAATTGTTTAGAGGTTAAAATTTTAGAGGTACTCGACACCACCTCTTTTAGAGGTAATTGATTTTAGAGGTAATGGACGTTTTAGAGGTACTTTGTTTAGAGGTAACGGGCCCCCGCCGCCGAATCGCATCCGTCGCGGGAGTGTCATCGGCGTGCTCGGGAGGCCCCCGATGACGTCCTCGTCCCCGGGGGCCCGGACGACCTCGGCACTGTCAGATTTGGACTCAGCGTGCGAAAAAACCATCAGGGTCGGAGAAAAATAGGTCGGGGATGAGGAAAGTACTCCCCCTTTTTAAATAAAAAGTAGCCCACAGGGCTAAGAAAGAGACAGTCCTCTCGAACAGGCCACAGAGTTCCCAGTGAAGGCGTGGACGAGCGCCTGAGCCGAGCGAGCGCGGAGAGGAAGGGAGGGAAGCCCGTCTAAAGGGGGGGGTAGGCTACCTAAGGCGCACTGGCTAAGAACTGGGGGGGGCGTTTTCTCCTTCTGGTAGAGACAGTCTTAAAGGGACTGTCTAAAAAAAATAGTCCGGGTGGGGGGAGAGGGGCGTGAGCATTTACGACGCCGAGCGAACTTATTTCTACAGTCGGCTCTGATAAAGCTGCTAGTGGCCGTGTCGGTTGTACAACTGTGTCGCCACAAACAAGGACGTGGCCCCCGACCCGTGCACACTGCGAGGGGAACGCCGGGGCAATGGCTGAGGACGCCTGGAGGGTAGGCAATCAGTACACAAGCTATCCCTTAGGTTGTTGAGGGGGGCATTGTGTTTGTTTAGATGCGTCCATCCCCTTTCGGCTTGTCAGGGATTTTGTGCAGAACTGGCCCTTGCCTTCTGCTTACACCCTGTAGGTGTTCTATAGTTCTATAGTCGGGTCGGATTAAGCTGACTCTGGCCGCCGGCATTGTGGCCACATTTTTGTGGCCACAAATAGGGACGTGTACAGTTCAACCAACGTGCCGGGTGTAACTGTGAATACGCATCAGTGTTGCGGGTTTGCCTACTCTCTACACCCGTAAGGGGCTATGGCCCCTGCGGCCATTTTGAGTATGCAATCCCGCAACACTGCTGCGTATTCTCAGTTACACCCGGTACGCATCAACCGACTCACAAACCCCGGGACTAGCCCGGGAGTATGTTCTGACCACTGTGGTTTGGCTGATCCCTTTACCAACTCAGAAGTCGTCCTGCGGTGGGATGGGGAAAGTTACTCGCTCATTTTTATTATTCCTCTTTGAAGCACATTCTTCCCAAATTTCAGTATATCAACGAGGTCGGAGAAAATTAGGTCGGATTTTGAAAAATTTACCAGGTTGAAGGAAAATAGGTCGGACAATCTAAATACACCCGAAGGCATACCAGGTGGCTGATTCACGCCGCTCACTTAGTTATACTGTACCGCATGCACGGGTGCCGGCGGGTTTGTCTGCTCGCAGCCCTCGGCTCCTGGTGACCCCGTGCGAGTAGGCAATCCGCCCGCACACGTGAATGCGGTACAGTATAACTACGAAAGTGCGCGTCGTGAATCAGCCACCAGGTATGTGCGGAGGGTACTTGAACCTGCGATCTGCACTTGCCAGGCACCACAGACGTCCCCGAGGGTGGGGCGGGCGCCGCGGCGGGGGTCGACGACGTCACTGTGGCCCTCCCGAAGGGCTGCAGCTCTATCGCCTTGCCCTTTCCGACACACGAGCTCATGTTAAGTCCCGGTGGCGGGTAGATAACCATGCAGGGGCTGCGTGCGGATCGCAGCGGCCGGCCCCGCCCCGCCCCGCGCTACAAGGCGGCGGCGCCATGGCGTCGCGTCGCGGGGGTGGTTCCGGACGCGGCCTGATGTGTCGACCAGGTGTACCGGGGCGGCTCGTGGGAAGCGCGCGCCAGCTGCCTGCTCGTCAGCCACTCGTCAGGCTACCACCGATAACGCCGTGTCCGCCGCACACCGAGTTGCGCGCACTTTTCCTACGAATCGCATCTCTTATTTGGCGGAGGGAAAGTAAAACAACAGCGGCAAGGTGTTGAATGGTGAGTCGGGGAGAGAGAGACCGGCGCCGCTCCAACACGACCGCACGACGCGTCGCGCACTATTTGCCATGAGCGTTAGTGTGATGGCAAATACGGTACCGACTAATGGAGAGATATATCCCCGTGAGTGTGTGTTTGGACACAGGGGCGGGGTGGGGCGCGGGCGGACAGGGCAGGCCACCCCCTGAAGTACCCACCTGCGGGCCGGCGCGGCGAGCCCTGCCCCTGCCATACCGCACCGACCAGACCAATCATGAGCGACACTCATCATCGGGATCTTTAACGACGCCAATTCACGCCGCTGTAAAAGGGAACAACGTCCCCGAAAACAAGACAGCTGGCAGCAAGCCAATTGTCAGCGGCGCTGGCCTGGGTTTCTTTTAACGACGCGAGACGCGGCATGGGAAGGGAGAAAATTGCTTCTCAAGGGAGTGCCGCTTCGCTTTCCCGCTGTGTCGGCGTATGAAGCTAACTCGCGGGCTGGCGATACTGTCAGACCTCTGTCGGGGCACATTGTCCTGGTCTAGTCTTGTAACGAGAACCACACAACGAGCTCGATCTTATTACTCAACCAGCGCGCACCGGCGCGCACCTACACCTTTAGGGCATCGGGGTGTTCGCTGTGCCCCCCCCCCCGGTCAAGCCAATGCTTATACTAGCCGCACGCAGGCGTGCGGACGAGTTGCCTATTTGCGCGGCGTTATAGGCGCCACTACTGGAGACGATAGGCAAACCCACCCGCACCCGTGCATGCGGGCCAGCATACGTATTCGCTCTGACGGGGCACATCGACCACGCAGCGGGGTAACATACTGCGCAAGGAAAGAGTGTCTGTTGACTTCGAGCGTGATGTCGGCGAGGGTGACGTCAACTAGGGCGTCATCACCCGCGACTCGACGTGCAGCGGCAGCAGCGGCGGCGGCGGTGGCCCGGCCGAGGACCGCCCACCCACCTGTTCCTCGGCGATGACCCACCCGAGGGTTCGCCGGGGCG